GTGACTCAATTTCTTGGGTCAAAAAACAATTTTCTCGCAAACGTGCTGCGAAGCATTCCAACCAGTTTTCATTCGTGTGAAGCAATCTGCAAAAGCAGCACGCGAAGTGAAGAGCACAAACAAGATATCTGCGACGAACAGCCCAATGCCAGAAAGGTTAGGTTAAGGCTTCAATGACAAATGCAACGCGCACTTAACACAATATTGATGGCGTTGGCACCTAGCAGCAGCAAAGCTAAGAGGCAGACGAAACAAGTGAAGACAACGAAGCACGTCGGGCACGTTAACGCACATTTTTATGGTGTCTCCCTGCTGCTGCCCGTACTTCTTCATTGCCCTAAATGCTCACGAACATGGAGCATGACAACGTTGCCGTCGCGTCGATGCCATGTGCACTTCTCTCGCGTCCCATTCATGCCTCGTCTCAACCCGGTGATATCGCACCGTACAGTTGCAGGTGATAAAGACGGATTCAGGCCACTATCACAGTCGCAAAAACACGTAGACGTATAACGCACTAGAGAAGGAACTGTGGTAAATAACTAGTACGCGTGTTTTCTTGAAGCAGTGAGTGATGGGTTGCCATCTTACGGCTGACGTGAAGCTGCATAGCTTCACCGCTTCTGGTCCGAGTGACCACTGTTGTAATCTTTATATTACTCTAGGGCGTGACATCGAATATTCTACAACGTTATCGCTTGCGGCCACGTAGGTTCTATGCAGAACAATCTGTAATGTTCGTGAAGTGGGCGTCATCTTAACGAAACAATCTACTACAGTTACGAAGCTCCTCGAACATTGCAGGCGCAATTTGCGTTGAGAATTACGTACTGTGTAATGGGAAGATAACAAAACTTGAGGAAGGAACATGGCAATATTTAATTAATAAGCGTCTTTTAAAGAAATTTCGTAATAGCGAGACCAAAGTCCTGTATGGCCACATGTAAAGCTAATATAAATAAAACTTCAGTTTTCGAAAAAAAATTTGCCCCAAACATGCATTTTGATAATTTCAGAACAGGCCTCTCGTGGCATATAGTTTCCTAAAAGAACTAGAAGGGACTCTGTCGCTGCGATCGTTCAGCGACCATGGGAATGATTGGTATACGTTGGTTTGCCTTGTCTTCATGCTTGCGGGCTTCAGACGCACTTGTGGCTTTGTTTATTGGTATGTTTTGTTTTGATTTCGAATAAAAGAACGAACTGTCTTGAACTTCGTGACACAATTTGAATGAATGAGCCTAAAGGCTTAAGGTGTTGAAGTGCAACTTCTGAGCACTTGCTTATTGTCGTCTCGTGACAAATCGACTCCAGGTCACGCCAAGCCAAACGAAGCCAAGCGTACTAAGATTAGATAAATTTGTGTACTATACCCATCATTCCCATGTTATCTGAAGCACCGTGCGTTTCAGCTCCCATAAACGCTAGATTCAGAGTTTCCTCTAGTGTATTTATAGCAAAACTCGATCTCTCGTGTACCGTTCCAGACGCTGACAGAAACTAGAAAGAAGAAAGACGCCGAGTCGATGCTGCCTTATAGACAATTTTACATATTGGCGCTGCCACCTTGGACTATTAGACGGATGTTTACTTATTTTTGCGTATCGTGCCGTGAATTGAGAGGGACATCAAAAGTCGAATACATCCACACAGCCGTTTTTATGCGTATAATCTCCCCTCAACACTGTTCGCTTAGTTTTTAAAAGTAATAAACGGCAAGTTGAGTAGCTCGACATAACGCCACTAAAGCCCATCCGCAAAACCGTTCATAAATAACATCCCAGGGAAAGCTGCATCCTTAGGCTTTCCTGATTTGTTTTGGGTGTTGCTTGCGGATCGCTTAAGCAACACCCAAAACAAATTCTTCGTGGATTTTAAATTTCCTGTGCCGACTTAGTGAGAAAGCGGCCTGTCCGTTTCCATCTGTCACGCAAGACGAATCGATGAAAAGTAATCAATGCATACGAAACAAAAAATGAAAAGAAAATTTATTCATCCTGTTGGATTTCAAACTTGGGGCCTGACGCTTCGTAGAATAGCGTCTTACCCACTGGGCTAAACGCACACGCTTTCCTGAGGTGTATATATATCTGTACCAATGCAGTGCGTCGTACCAGTGATTAAAAAGAATAATATAACCATGCTTTTATTGAAGGCTTGTGGAATAAAAATAATAATATCAGGAGTTTTACGTCCCATAAATATACGCTATGATTATGAAGGACGCTGTAGAAGGCTCTGGAAGTTTTGGCCCTCCGGTGTTCTTTAACGTGCGCTGACATCACACAGCGCATGGTCCTCTACCGGGATCGAACACTCTACCTTCGCGTCAGCAGCCGAGCACCTTATCCACCGAGATGGTCATTGTAGAATGGATGGCCTCTCTAAGACAACTTGTAAAGCCGATGTACAGACATGAGCAAAACTCTGGCGTTGAGAAAAGTTTATTGCCAGACGCGTGTCTCGGTGGTCTGTCGTTTTGCCATTTCACCCCATACTGATGAACAATAGAAACTGAAAAAAAAATTCGGCAGATCCCACGTACCTGGGAATTGACGTTATGCGAAGCATGCGGAGGGAAGGTGACCGTGTTGAAATTTTTTTTATTGAGCGGCACGTCATGAAATGACGGTAAGTATATGTACAAATGTTGCACGCTCAGAAATATGTTGAAGAGTTGCAGATGTTTATATGACCAGTTGTTTGCACTTGCAATGCCAACTGGAACATGCATATTAGGAAAACTAGAAGTTGATATGAAGCGCTCATGCTCTCGAGGATGCTGGCCCTGATCACTGCTACATAAATCAGTTTCAGCACATGGCACCTAACCACAATTCATGTTAACCCGACATGACGGCTATATCAAAGGAGTACATATGTAATGTTTATAAAACTAGGAAGGCAGCACTGCAACCACTATTGACGTTTCACGAAGATTATCGTTTATTTGAAAAGTAGTTTCGAGACCTGGCGTAGCTCTGTGGTAAAATGCTTCGTTGCCACGCAGAATGCTTGGGTTCGATTCCAGATGGGACCCTGACATTTATTCTTTGCATTCGTCGGGTCAACGCTACCGATGTCGGGTATTTCTTGACGCTCGCACGTTAAAAATGTCCATGTGTGCTCTCGCCGTTCCTGGACAGATACAAAGTGTCTATCACCTGTGGCACCAGCGGCACACCCGCTCGTGGGTACGTGCCACTGTCTGGCGAAAAGTGTTTGACGACGTACGCGACGGGATTGGGACATTAATCATGGCTTGACCAGCACGTCATATTCGTCAAACCATCTTACCCTCCCATGCTAATTTTGGTTCACGCCAAGTTAGGGAGGGGGGACCCCGAGAGCACCCACCGTAAGCGGCCAGATAGATTGATTTGCTCAAATTTAAGTCGCTTAAGTTTGCTGAGAAATGCTTCGCATTTAAAACAAAAAAGCACCAAATCGGTGGCAGCTAAAGCTATAAAAGCTCATTTATATCTGCTACTTTCCCCGGTCGCGTGACCATTTGTGACAGGCGCCTGAAAAAAGACTATGGGTGACCGGTTGTGGTAGAAAACATTGCCCTGGAGAGTGTTCTCCAGGGCAATGCTTTCCACCACACCGGTGTTCACAGCTGTATTCGACTGATATATCCCGTCGACACAAAGGCATCATGTCTGTTCTCATTGGCAATGCCCCCCAAAAATAAGGTGACGTCCTATTAACGTCCTTTTTCTGCGCATTTGATTGGTTCGGAGGTTGGCATCTGCGGTCACGTTTCTGAAAAATCGAGCAGCGAGCTACTGGGCAAAAGTAATGAATTTGCGACCAAAGTGGCCATTCGCGACCAGTGCTAGCCACAGGTGGGAGCGGGCCTTAAGATATAGTTTCTTGCCGGCTTTTATTTTGCACTGCTCACATTATCTAACGTCAAATATGACGAATGTGGTTGCGCAGATTTTTCATCTACCATATATGTATGTGAGTGGGACGCTTAGAAAAAAAATCTGTTGGAAGTTTATGACCATCTTCGTCGGCATAGAGATTCCTTATAATATGCTAGAGGAAAATCTGGTACTATAGTTTCTGCGGAATCTGCAATGCATGGTGCTTATAAGCTAGTATAGTAATGACTAAAATGAAAACACATCTCTCTGGGCACCGCTTTTTTTTTTTCGACTCTGGTTGGCTGCATGCGAACTGCAGCCGCTTTGTTGGAGGACGTAGTTTAGCCATACGTCAGAAGACTTTATTCCCCACTTTGACTTCTTTACACTCGTCAATTCGAATCGGCTCACAAAGTTCACAACAATCCCTACTTTTATTCAAAACAGAAGCCGAGACAAAGCAGTAATCGCAAGCCACAGCTGCGTCAGAATGCACGAAGTTTACGCAAATCTGCGTACTACCTTTTCATTCCTACGGTGGCTCAACAATCGCAGCACCAGAGTAGTAAACATTGTAGAAAACTCCATGTTCGTCGGTTGTCAATAGGTCCTTGTCTCATGCGTAAGATGCTCAAGGCTTGTCTCCCCTATCGCAGTACGACGGAGGCATGCGGCGTTGACACCTCTTGCTGATACTGTTGCAAGGTGGCAATTCGGGCCAATTGGTTCAGACTCGCGTTTAACCTGGTTGCAGTGCAACACAGACAACGACGAAAGGTAGAAACGTGCATCACAGTGTCGTAGTGTGCATTTATTTTTTTTTGCCTATATCTGCACTGTAACCAAGTTAAATATTAATACTAATGTTGTTTTGCAGCTCGAGCTCTCAATTGGTCATCACAGTGCTTTCGCGTTCTCACTTCATGTGAAGTTGCCCTGTTTCTTTTCTTTTTTTTCATACGTTTGATTTGCAACAACAAATGAAGCAAGCCTGCTGAGCGAACACACGTTTTCAATGTCGCAATATGTGTTTAAACCTGGGAACATGTTTGCAATATCATGTCGAGGTAAAGGAGAAACTCAGCTGAGGACTCGCAGAGCAGCGTTCTTGCAAAATAGAATGCCCACCTGATGTTGCTGCTGCTGCGGGTGCGGCGGAGAGGAGCCCGTGTGCTGCTGGTGCAGTCCCAGCATGACCTGGATGCTGTGGAAGTGCCCGCGGGCGTCCTCCTCGGCCTGCAGGTCCTCGTCGACGGACTGCTGCATCGCCGACTCGTCCTGCAGCATTGATGAGCCGATGCTGGCACAGCCGCTGCTGCTCAGATGCATGACCCAATCCAGCTTCCGCTGGATGGATGATGGCACTCGCCGCTTGACTCGCAGGCCCGTTACTGCGTTGAGATTGTGGCTAAAGTTATCTTCTAATTACTCCGAGCGAGTATGGTAAGAGAGGACCCGCTGCGGTGGTCTAGTGGTCGACTACTGATAGTAAAGTTGCGGTGGGGAATGCCGACTTCTTCGGCAGCATTTCGTTAAAAGCAAAATATTAAGGGCCAATGTGCCTAGGCATAGGTATACGTTAAGGAACCTCAGGTGGCCGAAATCTTGGGGGCTTTCTATGCGGCGTTTCTCGTAACACCATAGTTTTGGACGTAAAGCCTCAACAAATTATCCTTAATAGTAAGAGAATTCGATTACAATAAGAATTATTCTGGGTCCCAAAACCTCGATATATAGTTATGATGGGTGCCGTAGTGAAAGGCTCCGGAAACCTCTAACGCGGGGGTTTTTGTAACGTCCACCTAAGTCGAAGCACACGGGGTCCAAGCATTTCGCCTGCACCCCTGAACATATGGTTAGATGCCGAACACCACACACCACCACAGCGAGCTTTAGCAACAGGTAGGCCTAATTCAAACATAAAAAAATGTTCGAAAGGGACGACTTACTGCGCCGACGGAGTTTAACCAACTACTATCGCATAATGCGTGCAATGCATACGCTTTGCGAAACGTGGGACACGACAGTTTGTCTCTCGCAGCTGTGGTAAATTAACTTTTCGACGCTGTTCTCTTACTTTGTTTTAATTGTTGTGGCCGTTTAAATTATTGTAAGAATCAAGTATTTTATGTTTCTTTATTCTATTTTATTGTACGTATTCTGCATAGGATTGTATACACCCTTCACATTCCAAACACGGGAATGGGTGCTTGGGGCAGCTCTTGGTTGCCATTGCTTCTCAGATTTGTTCGCCGATGGCTAAGGCCGCATGATGGCTAAGGCCGCATGCTAGCTGGGTGTGGCTGAATCGCAATGTCTTAACCGCGACACACTATAGTCCACTGAATTTGGTGAGTTGTATATAAACTCGACTTTAGTACGACTGAGTCAGTTTAAGCTTTTCTAAGCGTGTGTTTGTTTTCTTGTTCGTTGTTCCTTTTTTTTTTCTTATAGAACCCCACGTTCTTACTCCGAATAAAATTCAGGCTATCCTTAGGAAAGGAACTGAAAAACAATAGTCTGTTTTGCAATATCACATTGTAGCCGCCCCAATGGTCATGTGTGTCGGTTTTCGATTAACCGGTATTTCTTTCTCTTGGTCAGTGTTTTTCTAGGGGGGGGGGGGGGGGGGATTGCACAAGTATTGAGCAGACATCTACGCCTCCGCTTGCATGAGCTCAAGCAGCAGGGGGTGTCAAAACTTATGACAGCGCACAAAGCCTGTAGTCCAATATCTAAACGTATTGCTGTTATTTTGTTTTTCCTATTTTTTTGTATTCCTGTTATTTTGCGTAACAAAACATACAATAAGCAAACCAAATGAGGTGTCTGTGTTTTCTTGATCTATCGCATCCATGTTTAAAACGCCCACTTTCCTTTTTGATGAATCCGCGTACCAACTATATCTCATCTTTGCCCGTTTTAAAGATGAGATTGTATTGAAATGAACTGCAAGGTAGAATTACCCCTTGTGCTTCGATCTTAATGCCCCTACTTAACTATAGTCAAGTCTCGATAACTACATCATGGACATGTCCGCATGGGTTGGCCTGCGTTCTCCCACCAACACACCTCATTGCGGAGTTACGAAGTGCCTGGGTGGGCGGGGGTACGAACGCGGATGAGTATATACTAGCGTTGGTGACAGCCAGACAGTGGATGCAAGTGTAACGCACAGTTCTCGCGTACTTAAACGTGACAATTCAGGGCAAAATAAGGCAGTTTCTTTGCGTTCCAGTTATTTTAGTTGGTGTCGTATCGGCGTAATTTTTAACTCTAACACTTACTTCAGAGCAAACCTTACTTTTAGCGGACAGATTGGAAGCGATAACACGCAGTTGTCTCGAGCAATCGCTCATGAATGTCATTATACTAAAAACACAAAAATTCAACCAGCTTCATTTCACCAACTTCAATGTAACAGCGTCGCTAGTGGCACTCCCTTCTTCGGGCTAACGAATTTCTCAGTTGTTTTTTTTTAATGTATTTCATATGTGTCGTATTAATGTTCTTTATTAAACACTGTTTGTCAAAGAGAGAGAGATATATATAATAAGGATGAAAGAAAGGCAAGTAGGTTAACCATGGCTGAGCCCGGTAGGCTACCTTGCACTGGGGAGGGGGTAAGGAAAATAAAAGTTGGAGGGGGAGAGAGAGAGAGGGAGAGAAATGTCACTCATGCCTTCGACAAAACGGCAATTATGTGCTTAACATCACAGATGGTGAGTCACATCTGTGTCTTAGTCAGTTCAGCACAATCGTTACATTAACTTGTATGCGCGGTTCCGTGCACCCAAAATCTTGCCGATGGTGAAGCCATGATGGTGCCGCTCTTATACATAGGTTATACTTATACCACTCTTATACAAAGGTTTACAAAGAAGCCTTGACAAAGATGCTCCAATATGTTGTGTTTGTGCTCTTTATTAAACACTGTTGATTAAGCTTTGAAGTGGTGGTGTAACTGCACCAGTCATAACCGCAAGGTATTACGTGACAGTGGTGTGACTATGGTGACGCTTGGACAAACTGTTGCATTTTTAATTTTTAGTGCAATATGTGTGCAGTGGGATTTACCCGATTTCTGCGGCACAAACGCGTTTACGAATATGGTAGTTTTCTGATAGGTCGCAAAGATTTCTGTGGCACATACCCTATTGTTGGGATAACAGCTGCCTTCATTTTTAATGCACTAGTTTGGAGAAGTGGTATTTACCCAATGTGTGCGGCCCGTACACGTTTATGATGCCCACTAGCGTTACCACGGATTCCGGGCATGAAGGTCTCGACAAAGAGAAGCTTCGGTGTTAGACTAAAATACTCATGTCCTTCAATCCTTGAGGATGCAAGACTGGCGGTGATTGCGAGTGATTGCGTTATATGAACGCCATTCAGCGCCAGTGAGTGTGATTGCACTGACACCAGCGTGAACTCGAGTGAGCTCATTAAGGTGAGAGAGTTGAAATTAGTACAAGCGCGTAAAAATGCCAGCGAGGGTGAGTAGGCGTGTGAGTATGAATATACTGCGAGCGTGGATAGATGTATGCATAAACGCTGGTGAGTTCTATTGTGAGTGCACGTGGGTTAGTGCAGGCTGGAGCATGAGCACGAGCCTTAGCAACCGCGCATACCGTACGATATATTGGCAGGCACCACCTTATTCGGGCCTATACCTATTCTATTTCTTAGTTGCGGAAATGTAATGAATTACCATTTGTGCCTTACTTAACAGTATAGTTTAGTATCCTTCGAAGCACAAAGAATGTTGGTAAATAGCCTCCAAATACAATGCTCTGCGGCAAACCCACAAGTAGGGCGTAATTTAAGATGCGACCATACCAGAACGAGTGGATTTAGTTCAAGAAATTGCTCAACATCCGACTGATATACATAAAGCAACAGAGGTAGAGATCGGCTATGTGATCAGCTGTCGCGATTGTCTGTGATGTTCCCATTGCTGAGCATCCAAATTCCAATATTTCTTGGATTGAAATATATATATATATGTGCCTTTATCCGGCACGTTCTCCATCCCAGTAAGACAAATAATCTGTCATACGGCTCCACCTTGCATGAATAACTCTGGAGGCAGCTGATTTCTATAAATGCCATAAATCTTGTGGCTATCAGTAGTCCCCAGACGCGCAGTGTAGCATGCTTTACTTTCAGCAGCCACTGTTGTCGCCTGTTTTCTCATTCCCTTCTTTTATCTCATGCTATACCCTGCCGAGAATAGGGTGGTTTTCAGAGAAACATTGTGCCCTGTAATGTTCAACGACAACTGTTGAGCTTCGGGGTCTGTATTAGCAAGAACATATTATGTTGAGACAGTTCGCAGGGAAAGAATTTAAGCCAGCCCTAATGCTGTACATCTTGTTAGTGATAATACTAATTGAAGTGTATGTAAGGTGATATACTACTTATAAGCAGCTTGATAAAAAGCTCGGAGAAAATCAGGAAACGCGGCCACAACAATAAAAACAAAACGACCATGCAAGCCTCCGAAAGAGACACATACCTCATGGCGGCTTGAGGGCGTGGTAGCGCCAATATTCCATACTGTCACACTTATTTCGTCTAAGGGTCGTATCCAGTGAGAGAGTTTCGGATTACCCAAGAAATACCGGCACAGCACCCACAAAAACTACGCAGGGCAAGTCTCGAAACACCACCATCGTAATCCTCGCTGATAAAGCTTGGCTATGTGCTGAGTCAGCAGCGATGACTTCGGCGGTACAGAAGTTTTAAGTCAAACTTTCAGCTCGTAAAACTCGCGTAAACATTGCGTGGACGGCCGAGCGTTTCAGAAAACCGAAATCTTGGACACCCAGAAAGACGCTCGAAGAAACCAAACGCACACGGTCAGGACGTCGGAGCAGCGCGACTGTCTGGACCACAAGCCAAGTTGGCCAGGCGCGCGCGGGCGGCGCCAAAGGCCCAAATCAGGACACGGCCCTTCAAAAGGAACGAGAAGAAATTGCCGTCATTGACGGTGAATCGCCGGCAACGATGCCTGATTGCGCCTAACTTCTCTAGATGAGCTCCGCCGGTCGGACTCATTGGAACCAATTAGCAATCATCAGCGATATTAGGGAAACCCGGAAGATGGCATTACAATGCGGCGCGGCCAATTGAGACCTCCCACGTGCCCCTTTCTCGGCACGTTCCGGCGGGTGGCGCGGATTTCTGGGAATCTTCCTGAAAAGGAGATTTTCGGAAAAAGGAGAACCTGGGCTCACCTGAACGCCGCACCTTGGGTCCCAGACAGTCTGGTCCTCTTCACCGTCCGCTGAGCCGTGGCATAGACAAACTGGCTGCGTCCTTTTAGGCTGTGCAGCAGCGCTCCCTGGTGTCTCCCGCTTGCGGACTCGGGACTTGTCCCTCCGCTACCGCTTCCTCTCGCTATTCGGCGTCAATTGGAGGTGAAGGCCTTTCGCCCATATTTGGACGTCTGCATCGGGCAACGAGCGTGTCGCTGATAGTTTAACGAGCCAAGCTCCGCCCACTCTGACCCGACGCTCGCTAAGCGTCGCGGGCCAATGGGAGAGGCGCCGGCAAGTCGGGTGCCCAACCATCGTTCCCCCGCCAACTGGCCTCCCCCGTTTTCACTTTTCGACAGCGCTTTGTTGCTTCCGACGTAACCTGCTGTTGTGGTGCATAGTGGTGCCGCAGGGAGGGAGTTGTGCCCTGGCAGGGTTGGGACCCCCAGCTTGTGAGAGAGTGGGAAGTCCGAAGCAGGCTCGTGGATTCAAAGTTCCACAAACGGGACTGTAACGTTAATAGATGTTGCTGTAGCTACGTGAGGAGGTTGTCACTACCCACCCCATCAAAAGAGAATAAACTAAAGCTAAACAACAGCATGAGGAGAAAGGGCGAAGCACATGTACTTGAAAATTGCCTCAATTCGACGTGAAAGAACAAGCGGAGTGGGCGTCCATGCCACTTAAATGCGTTCTTATTTTCATCGTGGTCTTTTTCTTTTTTTTCGATTCCACTAAACAAGTGCAGCTTACAACAATTCTCAGCCTAATTGCTTCTTAAATTATAAGCAAATAATGGTCTTTCTGGCTGTTACCCTCACCTTTGAAGCATTAAGTTTTTGTTACTTAAATTTATAATTAGCGTACTTTTTATGTTACATATAGCGTAACTATCTCATCTCCAGAAGCATTATAATATAAAATGCATTGCATTGCTCTAAATCGTGCATGCGTGCACCGACCTCTGAGTACACAGACTGCAATCCTCATAACGCAAACATTATTTTCTAATTGTTGGATTTATATGACTCAGAACCTAGATATGATTATGAGCGGCGCCTTAGATTAGGGATTCGGAAATTTCAATAACCTAGGGATACTTACAGTGCGCCAAAACCTAAGTACACGGGCCCAGCATTTTGTTCTTGATCAAATCATTTCTGATTGATTGAATATTTGATTAATTATTCGATTGATTGATTGATTGATTGATTGATTGATTGATTGATTGATTGATTGATTGATTGATTGATTTACGGGGTTTAACGTCCCAAAACCACGATATGATTACGAGTGACGCCGTAGCAGAGGGTTCCGGAAATTTCGACCACCTTGGGTTCTTTATAACGTGCACCCAAATCTGAACACACGAGCCTAGAACATTTCAGCCTCCATCGGAAATGCAGCCGCCACAGCCGCGATTCGATCCCGCGACCTGCGGGTCAGCAGCCGAGTACCTTAGCCACTAGAATACCGCGGCAGGGCTGAAATCATTTGTGTAACCAGTGAATTTGTCGAGTCTGTTCGGACAAAAGAAGAATACCTGCAGTAGCGCGGATAATTGGGCTAGTTGATATTGGTTCATCTTTTAACTGAATAAGGGCGCGCGCACAGACCCGCCGGCACTAGAACAGAAAATTGCGCAGATCAAGAGCGCCTACTCGCAACTAAATTTTATGTCTACCTTTCTGCAAGCACTTCTACAGGAACTATCTATCAGTGACCCGTTCAGCATAGTGAATTCACATGAACTGGTCAGTTTTCTAAAAGTATGAAACCCTAGTGACTGCAGTTTTTTTCACTGTAGATGTACAGGACTTGTATTATTTGTGCCGTTTGATGAACTTATGAAGAGTGTTAAGTAGCATTTTACGGAAGACAATGACTAGCAAAGGTTCACGAGTGATTGTGGAGTGTCAGTTGGCACTTTTTTAGAACTCCTGTCGTTTTATTTAGGCTCAACTCTTCAATGGAATTGGCAGCTATATCTTCAAAAAACAAGAAAGAGTCTGCATGGGTTCCAGAGTTGCCCCTATTCTGAGCAACATTTTCCTCGGAAGGTTTGACATGCAAGTGCCACATTGTTTAGGGTGCTTACAGCCACAAAAATTGTTTGGCACGTTGATGAATTTCTAGTGTTCATCAGGCCAGATCCCCTAGAGAAAGTGTGAACGAAGTTTTGAAGGTGTTTAACCAATATGGATGTGGACTTAACTTTACAGTTGAACTTCCGAAGGATGACGAAATACAGTTTTCAGATTTAAAATTACACCATGAACCTAACCACATATGCTGGGCATACATGCCACGCTCAAAAAAGAACTTACTAAACTTTAACTCAGGACATTCTAAAATTGTTAAAATGGAAATGACTATGTCTGCTCTGAGTTTTACCAGTAAAAAATCGTGCTTCGAAAAAAACGATAGAAAGTTTCTCAAAGCAGCTTGAAAGATTGAACAGCGCTGGCTTCCCTCAGCCCGTTCTACGCAAGGTTGCACAGAAGCTACTTAAAAAAGTAAAAACGGAGGACCAATAAAATGATAAAATAAAGTAACCAGTTAAAAAGCCCTTTGTCATCCCCTACATGCGCAAGATGTCACATGGTATAAAAAAACGTTGCAAATCTATATGACGTTAGAGTAGTTCTCGGCCCCAAACAAATTCAACAATTTATGTAGCTTGGATGAAGCTGCTCGATCGGCTCATGGCCAAGACCTGCGTACGCCCATACCACTCTTGAAAACGGACGCTGCAAGGCGACTACAATCACTTTCTCGCCGTATAAATCTCCTACAATAGAATACACCGGGTTTTTCCAACACGCGCCTGTATTCGATCGACCCAAACTTGCAACTTCGTTTGCCATCCGGGCTCCCACGATGCGCTGAAACTTTACTATGTCGCATGAGGTTGGGCACGGAATTTACGAATGCGTACTCTCGTCTCCTTGGAATGGCGAGCACTTCGGCATGCAACATCTGCGCCAGCGAGGAAACGCTTGAGCACATTCTATGCATTGCCCAGCATACCAGTCTAAACGACGTATTATAGAAGCCAAGCTCCGTCAGCAGGATTGACGGCCGCTTACAGAAGAGAAGACCCTGGGACCTTGGCCGACGGTCTCCCATACATGCAAAGCCACGAAAGCCATCTTGCACTTCTTAAGGACCACCAGACTTCACGACCGCTTGTGAAAGAACAGTGTGACATCATGATGTTTAGTCTCGAGCTGACTATTCATCCTTTTCCTTCTTACTCCTCTTCTTTTCTATCTCTTTCTTTACTATCATTCTCTCTTTCCCCCACCCCAAGTGTAGGATAGCCAACCGAGCCAAGCTTGGTTAACCTCCCTGCCTTTCCTCTCTATTTATCTCTCTCTTTCTCTCTATGTAGCAGAATAGATAGAAAAATAGCGCAAAACGCTAAGGGTCGAAGACGGGGAGAATGCAGTGTGAATTATATGCAGACGTATGTTAAGTGTGAAACAGGTGTTGTATATTTGATACCATTGTCCTGTGGTCTCATCTACATAGGATAGACGGGAAGATGTGTCAACACCAGGTTGCAAGAACATAGGATATTGTTGGACACAAAAGATAGTTCACACTTTCCGAACATTGCAGCTCGTATGGTTGCGACCCTTTTTTAAAGACGATAGTCTTTCTTGGGTACCTTCGACGGAAAAATTTTGGTCTGCCTGTCTGTCTGTACATTTGTCTGTTTGTCTGCCCTTAGCAATACATCAAACGGCACCAAACGGCCAACCCAATCCGCAGCGCACACCAATATTGCTCAAGGTATAGCGTCCATAGTTGCGTGATTTTCAATTAAAAAGCAATTATTGCGCATATCTGAGGCACCATAACAACACGTCTATGTTTTGTGTGTCTGCCGTTATATTAAAAGAGGCACACACAAGAAACTCTAAGGAATGTAGCGTTTATCGCGCTGCGCTGACAATAAAACGCGATGCTCAAAAAGGTTAGTGTTTCCAACGCTTTGCTACAATGACACGCACGTTAAAGAACCTCAGGTGGTCAAAATTTCCGGAGCCCTCCACTACGGCGTCTCTCATAATCATATGGTGGTTTTGGGACGTTAAACCCCACAAATCAATCAATCAATTGCTACAATGACACGGTGGTGGCACCTGCCTGTCGCTTTGCGTTCTACACCTTATCACCTCCGAGACTGGCGCGCATCTTTCTCCGCGCGCGCGCACGCCTTCGTTTTCGAAGATAACTGCCAGATGGCGCTCGTGTCGAACGGCGTGCTCGAAGCACTCGTTCGCCTCCGCTACACGCACAAGGCACTCTAACGCAGCGCCTCCAGAATACTATTCACCGATTTTCTTGCGCAGAACATCAAATAAACGTTTCGTTCACTCTCTCCAGACGCAAGACTACTATCGTCTTTCGACGACATTTGCAGTGTAACATGCAGATTCGGGATATTTTTTTTTTTTTGCGTAATGCCATTGTTTTATCAAAACAGCCAGATCGGACCACCAGAGGGCTGTTAGAGGCGTTTTACATTAGGAGAAGTGGGAAGAAATGCGTAAGCGCGCCCTCCATCACGTTAACAGAAAAAAAAATTTCATACCTCATGAGCCCTCTGAGGATCTGATCTGAGGCACGTGCTTTATACCCCCATTTGTTGTTTTTTTTTGTTTTTTTGCTGTTTTAATCTGTCAGATCATGTGACAGCTAGAAGTGATACATATTTACCTACCTTTCTTTCGAATAAACTTTAGTTGCGGATAGGCGCTCTCGGTCTGTGCAATTTCCTCTTCTGGTGTCCGTGTCCCTTATTCAGTTAATAGAGGAAAAATACCTGACCAGGGATTAATTCTAAAATATTTTCGCTCGAAAGTTTGCTTTGTCATTGCCCAACGGCCGTCTCCAGTGACATGTTCAGCATCATTATTGGATGAAAATATTTCTTACAAGCAATGTTATGTTGCGAAAGTGCTTTTTGTGAACACAACAAGGTTTGTTGCTCACTGGCTTGACATATGTCTACTTTTGGCAACGTTCAGGTGGGAGAACAACCTTCCGGCTGCCATCCGGTGACTTCTGGGGTTCCGCAGGAAAGCGTACTCGGCCCCCTACTGTTTTTGGTCTA